AAAACCATTCACGGTCTTAGAGCGTTTTTGGGTTTAACGGGTTACTATAGAAGATTTATCAAAGGGTATTCCGATATTGCGAAGCCTCTAACAAGGTTTCTAAGAGGGGAAAATGGTAACGTGAGCGCAAGTCAGTCTAGGGAGATACCCGTTGAATTAGACATAGAGGGGCGTGCGGGATTTGAGAAGCGAAAAGAGATTCTGGCATCTGAGGAAGTTATACTTCACTATCCAGACTTTAATAAGCCATTTGATTTGACGACCGATGCATCATCACAAGCTATTGGTGCGGTCTTATCACAAAACAATCGCCCGATCACATTTGTGCCAAGAACACTGTCTAAAACTGAGGCCAACTATGCAGTGAACGAAAAAGAACTACTAGCTATAGTGTGGGCTATAAAAAGTTTGAGAAATTATTTGTATGGGTGCAGAGGACTAAGTATTTTTACTGACCATCAGCCTCTTACGTTTTCAATGTCAGATAAGAACCCTAATGCAAAGATTAAGATATGGAGGGCTTTTATAGAGGAATTTGCTCCAAAGTTTTTTTTATAAACCGGGTAATTTGAACATTGTCGCGGATGCTCTGTCAAGGCAGTGCATGAATCATCTGACCGAGTCTTATTCGCATTCAGAGGTTTCTTTGTCGGGTACCATAAAAATGGTACAAACGTGTCTCAACAGTTTTAGTTTACAATCGGGAAGGCAAGGAAAAGAGTACGAAGATAGTGTTTCAGAGATACATCCTTTTCAATGTTAGCGACTGGTATTTTTAACATTGCGATGTCCTACGAGATGTCAATTGTCAGGCTATGCATCAGCATCTACTAGTAGAAATACTAGTAGCATCATACCAGTTGATGAGATAGTCTGCCAATTCATCCCCTATGAAAAGCATTAGTATGCCTTTTTGCTCGCGGCGCTCCAACAGTCGCAATGGCCGACAGAGCAAAGCACTCGCGTGGTATGCCTGAGGTACCAGGTTCAAGTCCGGGCGCAGGGAAATTTTTTTTTTTTATTTTTTTTTTTATATTTCTTTTATTTATATTTTTTATTTAGGGCTTTTTTGTTATTCTTAAATTTACTTTAAAAAAAATATTTTTTTTAATCTACTTTTTTATGGCACAAATATTTCTTCCCATATATTTGTTTCTTTTCTTTGTTATGCAACTAGATTTTTAAGTTTGTTATTTATATTTAAATTGAAATAATTATTCCTACTTACATTGATCTAACTTTAAAAATCTTAACCACCTCCAAGCGGCCTCGAACCTGCGATCCCAGAACCAGAACCAGTAGTCTTCACGTGACGCCACAGCCGACATTTGTAAGAAAAGCAATTAATTGCGTTTTATTTTAGACTTTGGCAATTCAAAGGCAGATGTCGCTGAACGCTTAAGTTCTTCGAAAATGTCGAACTGGAAGGCACATACTAGTCGCCGCCGCAAAGCCTGTCGGCGTAAACCTCTAGTACATACATATGCAAAATTTAAAATCTAATGGGACCACCCGCTGCTATGAGCCCTCGCGGCCGTCTCATTCATCGCCTTAAAAAATGCTTGCTGCGGCTTTCAAAATACTTTGATGTTGTTCTGCTAATTTTTACGAGTTCTCGTGTCTTGTTGTTGTGAATTGGCCATAGCGAGTTGATTCGTGTAGTTGTTGATATTGCACGAATGTACTTTGGTGGCGTGGTTTTTGTTAAATGTTACGTATGCATATGTATGTATGTATAAACGCCCGTCCGTACATGAATTCAAATGCAGCCGTCCACATAGCCAAAATTCGACAACGCTCACGCCAACACAAAGCAAAAAGATGGCCAACTCTCTTCTTTTGGCGTGCGTCGCTCGTCAGCTGTTGCAAATAAATAAAATTATGTAAAATATTTTTCCTTTTTAATGAAATGCGGGCGAGAAATATCGTTTTTAATGCAATTATTGATATGAAATATTAATTTATCTGTCGTTAGTATGTTAATTTAGTGGCCCAAGCATTCGCTGCCAAGCGTTCATTGTAGCAAGAATACTTTTAATGTGCGTTCTGTCAAACCAACGCCAACGCCAAAGCCAACAGGAAAGTTCTATTTGGACCGGCCTTAACGGTGCTTTTTACCGCTCACTAAATGGCATTAGTAGCCGATATGCAGATATCCATTTGCTGGTTCTGCCGTTGTTGTTGTCGGTGGCAGCAGTACTTCCCCTTGTACCAAGTACAGTAAATGAACGGGCACCGTGCCGTTTTAAATGGCGTTATGCGGCTTATGAGGTACTGCTGGTGTTGGTGGTGGCAGGGCTTCCCGTTGTGCGAAAAAATAAACGGGACAAAAATGCAGCACGGATTTTTATGCGGCGCTATATGGGTGACGCTGAACTGCTCCCCGTTATTGTCCACCGCAATGTAATTTTGCTCACCACCACCAACTCTGTGTGGCACTAGATGTATATTGTACACGCCTGCCGTCCAGGGTGTCAAAAAAATATTTTCTTCATGTTGGGCCCTCAGTCCGCTCATCGGATTGACACTCTCACAGACGTATATAATTGGTACTTGCTTACCCTGAACCTGCTGCTGTTGTAGGCTTCCTGATTTCTTGGGGCTTTGATGAGGTTGTCTCAACACCGGTAGCTGTTCTGACCTACGCGATGGTGTTCGGTGGTGATCCTACAGGGTTTTACTTAGCTAACTTTAGTTTTCTGTACTCTTACAAATTTGGCACGACCGTCTAATTGAAATGCGTATATCGAATGAAAATTAACATTCGTTTTTTCACTCGGTTTTATGTACCTGTGGAACGTATGTTCCAACAGGGCTACCAAATTACGACGGCGCTGAATAGTGCTGCCGTATTGCTAGCGATGCCATTACAAGACTTATAACCTTTTAACTTCTGGTTTTCTATATTTGTTTTACGCCCTATTGGAAAATTATAACTGGGACACATATAGACAAGTTTTAACAAACTATTGTTTATTTTAATTATATTACTTTTTTAATAGTGTATTCTCCGTATACCGTATAAACCGTATAAACTCTATGTAGTTTCAAACCTTGTGTAATATTTAAACAAAATTCAACGAACGTTCGTAAAAAATTCAAGTTTTTTATCAGAGCCCATCAAATTTAGTACAGTAAAGTGCTCAGCTGATGTTGCTGAAAAACCCTTTGATTTTTGATATTTTTTTCTTAGCGGAGCTGTGCATTTTTTTCTATACGAAAAAATTTTAGAACGTACTTTTTATGTTTTTTTTAACAACACCAAACTAGACGTTGTCAAATAAGCAGCCTTTGTTATCGTTACCGCCAACAGCTGATTTTGCGCTAACGAATGTTGTTAGGTAAACGTTTACTGAATAGCTAAATTGATAAAATTATGATAGCGTAGTGAATCGCACTACAGGTCAATTTGCAGGGACGGTATTTTCACTTTCTGTTGATAATGGGTGGAAATATTACGAAATTTCATGTTCCCAGCTGCATAGATGGAGGAGTTATAACAAAAAATCGTAATCAATTGTATGGGAGCTATATTTATGTAATTTTTATCAAATAATAGGTTATTTTCATTGTAAGTATTCTGTTGTTAATGGATGGAAGTATGGCAAAATTTAATTTTCCTAGCTGCATAAATGGAGGAGTTATAACGAAAATTCTAATAACTGAGCAATCAGTTGTATCGGAGATGTACAGTATATTTTGCTTAGCTGCACATCCTTCTTTGCACGAAAAACTAGTGCACGTAACCGAAAAAGGCACTTAAGCGAATTTTCTTTACTACTTCAATGGGGAAGGTATCCGAATCCCTATGAAACCAAATATTGGCGGAGCACTTACCATGTAGAAATTACTGCAAGCGAAATTTTTACCGAATGTTATGTAATAAATACATACATTGAATACATAAATTGATAGCCATTTTCGTTGTTCTGCGAGATGAGCAAAATAAATAAAAGGTTGTAAAATTAGGTAATTGTAAGGCCAGTGCAGGTAAACGTAATACTTTCATTGATAATTGATACTAGTCGCACAATTTTTAAGGCAGGTATCGCCAATGTGCAGGTATGTTGAATGCATCTATCGGAGCAGTTTCCTTATAAATGTTAAAAATAATGCTTTTGATGCGCATTTTCGGGTAGGTATCTTAAATGTGCACTTAAGCATAGAGGCAGCAAAGCAAAATATACTGTATGTTATAGTAACCCGATCTTTGTTATTTTCACTGTAAGCATTTTGTTAATAATGAGCGAGAACGGTGCGAATTTTCATGTTCCTAGTTGCTTAAATGAAGAAGATATGGCAAAAAATCTCATATCTGAACAATCAGTTGTATTGGGGCTATAGGTTATAGCTACCCGATCTTCGCCATTTTCACTGAAAGTATTCTTTTGATAATAAGTGATAACCGTGCAAAATCGCATGTTCCCAGCTACTTAAATGGAGGAGTTATAACGAAAAATCGCATATCTGAACAATCAGTTGTATGGGAGCTATATGTTATAGTGGTCTGATTCTTCCAGTTCCGACAAATGATTAATACATTATAAAAATACACCCACCTACCAAATTTGATACGGATATCTCGAAAACTGAGAGACTAGATTGCATACAAACAGACGGACAGACAGACGGACATTGCTAAATCGACTCAGCTCGCCGTTCTGATCATTTAAGTATACATTTTAATGGGCCTGTCTCTTCTTATTCTGGTACTTACAAACATCGGACCAAAGCTTTAAGCTCATGAAAAGTATAAAAACAAACATTAAACTAACAAAAGAAAGATAGTCAAAGCTGTTTAAAATGCTTTGTCATTAGTTGCGTTCCAGATGCTTCACGATTAGAAAACAGCTGTTACTGCAAATCCTGTAAAACCTGCAAATCGTGAGGCATCTGGAACGCAACATGGCTGAATCTACTTACTAGAAGAGATTTTATGAATTTTCATATTGACTTACATTTAAACTAAAGTTTATTTGATGCCTTTTTCGTTTCTGTAGGATCGGGAGGAGAAGGCGGCCAAGTCAACTATACAACATCAGATTTCCCCGCGTCAAGGTCATGTCGCTAGTGCATTATCTCCACAGGAATCAATTCAAGAAGAACCCGAGACTGAAGTTAACGAGGTCCCACCGTTAATGCAAAGATTGCAGCTGCTTAAGAATAAGCAAGAAATGAATTGTAGCGAAACAAAATCTGGAGTAAGATAAGCTTTTTTCAATCATATGATGAAATTTTGTATTCAGATAATTTTTTTAATTTTAAGGGTATCTGGAGATATTTGTAGAAAGTTGCCACGTATTCGAAATTATTTATTATTATTAATTCTAAAAAGGCACAAAAGATTCACTAAAAAATTAAAGTTAAAAGACATCTCAAATTAAACAAACTACTATATACGATAGTTACCCTGCAGTGAAAACCCAAACCAGTTAGAAAAAATACTAGTTCATAAACTAGTATGTGCCTTCCAGTTCGATATTTTCGAAGAACTTAAGCGTTCAGCGACATCTGCCTTTGAATTGCCAAAGTCTAAAATAAAACGCAATTAATTGCTTTTCTTACAAATGTCGGCTGTGGCGTCACGTGAAGACTACTGGTTCTGATTCTGGGATCGCAGGTTCGAGGCCGCTTGGAGGTGGTTAAGATTTTTAAAGTTAGATCAATGTAAGTAGGAATAATTATTTCAATTTAAATATAAATAACAAACTTAAAAATCTAGTTGCATTACAAAAAAAAAGAAACAAAACAATGGGAAGAAATACTTGTGCCATAAAAAATAGATTACAAAAAATATATATATTTTTTAAATTAAATTTAAGAATAACAAAAAAAACCTAAATAAAAAATATAAATAAAAGAAATATTATAATAAAAAAAAAATTTCCCTGCGCCCGGGCTTGAACCTGGGACCTCAGGCATACCAAGCGAGTGCTTTGCTCTGTCGGCCATTGCGACTGTTGGAGCGCCGCGAGCAAAAAGGCATACTAATGCTTTTCATAGGGGATGAATTGGCAGACTATCTCATCAACTGGTATGATGCTACTAGTATTTCTACTAGTAGATGCTGATGCATAGCCTGACAATTGACATCTCGTAGGACATCGCAATGTTAAAAATACCAGTCGCTAACATTGAAAAGGGATAGAACGTGAACTAGTTGGGCTGAAACGCAAACTGGTAGAATTCTAGTTCACAACTAGTAGCTTTTCCTGCAGGGATAATACAATGCTCTGCAAAGCTCCTTGTTGGGAGCCACAGACGTGGTCATCCAAACAAACAGCTGCTTGCAGAAGAGCCCTCGCCAAGGCACGTCAGGAGGCATCTCTACGAGCTGACGGACGAAGTACAGAGGTTCATTAAACAACCTCTAGACCGGTCAGCTTAGCGACAGGCCCTGAGCGGCATTCACAGGGAATCAGTCTCAAGTTATGTAGACTTCCTCCCTTTGAATGCCGTTATAGGCACACAACCACCTGACGTGGACGGGATAAAACTTTGTCTGCCTCCGTAGACCCGCACTACAATAGCCCAACTTCGCTCTGGCTATTGCAGCAGGCTAAACTCATACCTGAGCAGAATTAATGAGGATGTGCCCAACCAATGCACGGCATGTGGAGAGTCGCCACATGACTCTCGGCACCTCTTCACATGCCCCGAGAACCCCACCCAGCTGACGCCCCTGTCCTTATGGACAGATCCTGTTGAAGTCGCACATTTCTTGGGCCTCCCCTTAGCTGAAACGGACGACGACGACAACGTTGACGGATGAACCGACCGGAGCGGGGCTTAGTAGCCGCTACAACAACAACAACAATGCTGATTTTACAGTCTCCGAACCATCAGGCCCGAAAAGAACAAGCGATATATATGTATATAAAATATAAAATAAAGCATAAAAAGTTGGTGGATATTTTTATTTTCTGTAGACTTACAAATACTTTGTACAAAGATTTTGTCTGCGAGGACCCCTAGTGAAATTTTTTGGCAAATAATTTTCTAGAATATTTTAACCCTATAGCGACCTTCAAAATGCCATTTTGTTCAGACTATCTAAAAAAAAGGGCCAAAACGAACCTTTTGTTATAGACCTAACGGGTTAAAATGTTCCACAAAATTATTCCTCGTAAAATTTTACTATACGTCCGAAACAACACATTTCTCTCCGATATGTATTTTAACTCTCTTTTTTCATTTCTCCTAAAGGCACTCAGGCAAAATATTTCAAATTTAAAATGGCCATAACACAGAAATTTGACCAAAGAATGTAAAAGATCCAGAGTTGCAATCATTCCGCCCCAGACAATGATCCTCAAATTGTTGCACAGTGTAATTATTGCTTGCCAATATGCGGTTTTTGCCCCAAACACCAATGCCCTATTTAAGCCGGTGTTAATCCGCAAACAGGATCAAAGATAATTCGCGGTCCTGTGGGTAACACATGTACGAGCGTTAAGTGAAAAAGAAGTTGAAAGTTTTGTGAAAGCTAAAACAATTAAAAGTGTTCGTGTTTTTTTACTGAATAGTAAGAAGCGCTAAATACACCGCAAAGAGCGGTCCAGCAGCGGTTACAAGTCATCACCGACCAGGAAGAAACCCGTTGAAAGGTAAGACCCTGCCAGGCAAAAACCACGACAAGGGCTAACGAGCTAAGGCCGGGCTACAACCATGCCTACCCACCGTGACTTCCGGTCCAGTACAAGCAGTTAGATAGCAATGGCGCCCAATGTTAACTTTATTACCTCTTTATCTATTTTCTCACAATTTTGTTTTAATTTTTATACCCGAGCGGACTTGTGCACAAGGGTATATTAATTTTGTTCACATAACGGTTGTTTGTAACAGCCAAAACGAATCGAGATAGATATAGACAAATGTATACATAAATGCTCAGAATGAATAGAGAAGTCGATTAAGCCATGTCTGTCTGTCCGTCCGNCGGCACAGCATTTAAATTTAAAAAATCGGACAATAACCACGCCCACATCCCATATAACGGTAATTTAGAGAAATACAAAATCTTCGATAAATCAGTAAATATTAAAGCTAATTTATTCAAAATTGATGCTTGCAACAATTCTTTACCAGGAAATACGTTTATGGTAAAATTTTGGCAAATGAGCGTGGCACCGCCCACTTATGATCACATATATGTATATCGGTAACCGTTCTACCAATTTGTACCAAACTCAGTATTTTTATTGTGCTTGCCACATAAAAGCAAAACGTTGAAAATTATTGAAATCGGACTAAAATTACGGCCGCTTTTCATATAACGGTAAATTTCAGAAATGCTTGAAACTGCAATATTTCGAAATTTAAGGACGCTAATTTACTCAAAATTGATACACCCCGGCGTAGCATCTAGCGGTAGGTTTCGGAAAGGTGAAAAAAACATATATTTAATACTTGCGCCGGGTATTTAATGCTCGGCTCCGCCCTAACTTGGACTTTCTTACTTGTTTTATATACTTTTAACTATTCAGTTTCATGATATTTCCTTCTATTCCGGACGGAGCAGGTTTCCACTAGCGGCTATACTAGGGTCAAGGCTAAAGATAAATGCGATAGTAGGAAAACATGGGAGTGGTACGGGTTCCACTCCGAAAGGTGCCTTAGCGGAGTACAACATCCTGCAAAAGAGATTTTTGATTAATTTAATTTAAATTTGTTTATGCATCTAACTGATGTGAGGTGTTTTCACGTTTTCCATGTGGGGCTGTGGGGTAAACTAATTAGCAAATTTTGAGTTAGTCTCCAAAACATAGATTGGTATTAGAGACTTTGACCTTGGACAGCAACCGACAATCATGCATGACAGGTCAACAACGATCATATTTATAATCCGCCAAACGAGGTCAACACCAACGATTACATTATTTGTTGAGATACATGCATACATACATAGGTAAACACAAAGAAACAAATGGCATTTAATTGTGGATTTTTTTACAAAATTAAAATATTGCACTAGCGAGTATTGTGGCTTATTTGCATTTTCGAGGTGTCAGCTATTGGTGCTAATAATTTTATAATTTTTTATCATTTTTATAATTTTCTGGAATCATAATATGGATTGTCAGATTGTGAAAATCCATACATGAGTAGAATATATTCGGAATTGATTAGTTTTCAGCATGAACGCCTTTTTAAAAAATGGCAATTAGTGTTATAAATTCTAATTGAAATACATAAATTACTGCTGTAATACTTATCTGCATAATTGTAATATGTTGAAAAATTTAAGATGAAAGATCTATTTTTGTACAAGAATTAAATGTAAAGTTGGTGTAGCAGTGGTAGTTTAGGTGAAATTGGTTAATTTAATTCCAATGACACTTCATTTTGAAACCTATAATAAATCTTAGATTTACCATTAAAACTGGAAACAAATTCTGATTTCCGTGTTTTCTACAGAAATGTTTCCTTATGTGGTCCAGAATACCCTTCGCTTCTCTATTTAGTTAGAATTTCGCAAAATAATTCAATGAATATCATCAGAGAACGAGCCAAAGAACGCAAACAAACAATGGCAAACGTTTCGGTATCGTTTAGTAATTTTGCTTGCCTCTTTCCTGATAAAGCACCAAATTTTGATGAATTATCTTGTTGAGAACTGTTTGAGAAATATATATCTATTTTACATGATTCGGTGCCAGAAATATGGACAAGTGAAGTTGAACTTTGGAGAAAACGCTTCGCTGGTATAAATATTCAAAATTCATTTGAAGCTTTGGATATTTGTGCTTCTCCAAATGTTCATCAAGAACTTAGAGTGATAGCTATTTTACCTAATACGACTTCCGCAAATGCGGAGATCAACTATGAAAGAAGATCGTCCCAATGTGCTGGCTTCCCTCAATATTCATCGCAATCTGGATGTAAATGTTGACTCAGTATTAGAAGAATTTGTATCTGTACCTCGGCGAATTTCATTATTGAAAGCAGAATAATTTAGTTAATAACGCATCATGAAACTTTTCTTTGAGTTGTGGTGAATTATATCCATGATTAAATACAATATGCTGAACACTCAATGATATTCTTGGTTGTTGCGAATGACTTTACATAAAGGCTCTCCCCAAAAAGAAATGCCGCGGCCGGCCCTGTATTCATATAGGGGGTGGGATTTCACCCCTTAAGGACGGTTAAAAATTTGCGTACTTGCAGTGATGTATTACCATTGATTCGAACTAAAATA